ATATATCTCCCTTTCGATCTGTCGCTGTTCGGCTGTCAAATAAGTTGCATCGAGAATGGGAAACAATTCCATGTTCAAAGACTCAAATACCAAGTTGTAAATTCCGATTATTAAAAAATTTCTGCTAACGGTAGACGTAAAGTCCGTACTATTAAAGTCTATGTTATAAGATGATGGTACTCGATTTAAAATCAGTACAGTATTTACTTCAGTTTATTATTTATTATTATTATTATTTTATTCTATGAGTATGTCGTTTTGAANTTTTGAATATTCACTTTCAAAAATAATGCCGCATAAATCGATCACTATTTGAATATTGCTTTAAATCTTATTAGTTTAACAAAAAATTCACGCTCAATTTGTTGTATATCTCATGTGATTTTCGGTCCAAAATTTTGTTTAATATTATACTGAACGTGGGCTGAGAATGGCGTTTAACTCTCGAATCTTTTTATGGACCAAGTTGTTTTCTCCCGGGATGCAGCGAAGGCCTTGAAACCTTGGGAGTATTACTTGTATCTCCTTCGGTCCCTTCTGTCGCCAACAAGATACGCAACAAAGATCAAGACTATCCACCCCCGAATTTACCGGAAGACCAAATCAGACCGAGAATATTCAACCAGTTTGAGAATGTTAAACGAGATTACTTTGAAACGAGTTTCAAATTTTGTTGGGAATGAATACCCAAAGAAATTACAAAAATAAATCAAAATTAATAGTTTGGTTCAATTAATATTGACCGTGTTATCGGTTACGTTGCTTGAACTTAATACCGAAAGACGAAATGAAAAATTATCGGTTCAAAAATCTTGACCGTCGATGTGTGGTGTTACTTGATTAAAAAAATTCAATTAACTTGCTTTTCAGAATTGGCGAACTGAACTGAACGAGAATGGTTATGACTGCTGATCAATGGTGTTCGCATCGCAGATCGATCACCATTCACCCCCGCGGAATTAAATAATCAAAATATCCACAAAAATTTTGATTGAAAACGATAAAAATAAAAGTCAATTAAATCATGCCGTGTAAAGACTGAGGACGATATTGATTTACAGTGATTATGAATTCAAAAGATAATTATTTGATTCAATCTCAATGATGATTTATAATAGCGGAATTTCTAAAAGAAAAATTTTATCAAAAATCTATTAAACTCGAATATGTATGGTTCACCGACGTACAATTTTGTGACCAACAAAATGAGAAAAACGACTAAAATATTTTAATTTTTCTTTAAATCTAATTTTATGATGTATTAAATTGATTCGATGATGAAATTGCTATTTTCCCTCAGATGAGCACGCGGTTATTTTATGCCGGGCTTAAGTGTGGTTATGTTCAACGAAAACTTATTCTTTTTCACCCGTTTAGTTGGGCGCCAATGATTTGCTTGACCTTGGTTTGTCGGTCCAAACAGGAATCTTTATTTACGGTTGGTGTATAGCTCGTTTCCAATGGATGGTGGCAAGAAAGTGGCTGACTTACGTGTAATGATTTTGTATGACCGGCTTATGGTGACTCAATTGCTGTCAAATGAACAGTCAGACAGACTTTGTTGTTGTTCCGAGACATCGCGTCTCAGAAAACCAAAGGCTATACTTAAAAGTTACAAAGTTGTAAATATTCTCTTTTCTCGCATTGTCTGGTGTGATTTTAGTATTGTTCGAAAAATTCTTTTCGCAAAAAACTGAAAATCGAAAAATTAAGAAAATCGAAAATTACATATATTTGCAAAGTTGCGCGAAAATATCCTAGGAAACATTGAGGTTAGTTATCGATTAGAGAATGATCGGAGAACTAGCCACATTCTCCAATCTCAAACGTTAGGGATCGACTCGGGAAAAACTATCGAGAATCATAGCGGTCTCAACAAAAATTGGACATAGTTCTAATTCTTATGTAGATCTCTAATGGGATTCGAATGTGAATATCAAACTGCTGTTTTGCTTTATTAAATAAAATGCTTTGTTTGTAAAATTTGTATTACATGTATTTACCATAAAATAATAATGAATTACTAGTAAAAACCCCACGAAATTCGGGTAAATGCTTTAAAGAAATACTTGCCGATATTAAGTGTTTAAACTTAAGTAAAAAATAAAACGTGATATTCATGAATATACTTCAGTATTTAGCTCAAGATTTATATAAAGAACTTCATGAAAGGCCAGAATTAATCTTGTATTGCTAGATAGGGTCATTCTCTACTTATAGCAGCGTATAGCGTGAGAAAACAGTAATTTTTAAGGTATAGTCTAACCTTTCACAATATGTGTCCAAGAGCTTTATCAGTGGTAGTCTGAAACGCTATAATCATTTAATTTGCTCCATTTCATGTAGAAAGGCACTGTCGCTGGCTATCGAAGATCGAAAGTGAAATTCGTATTATGAGCTATGCAAGCGTGTCGAAATTTTCGTTGAGTATCGAATTTTCTGTCGAACAGAATTTTGCTTTCGATGGTGTAGCGAAGTGTTAGAAAATTGTGAAAAATGTATGATTTTGTATATGTTTTCTTACATTTTGGCGGCTACACACTAATTTTAAACAATTTTTATTAATTTCATGCAATTATAACATCGTGAATACTAAACACAAGCTCGAAAGGCTGGTTTTACTTGTGAAAGAAAATCCCAATGCTCTGTTGGCACGATCTCTGAGAACAAAATCGTAGCGCTGTTGATAGTTTTAAAATATTTTAAATAGATTTGGCTCACAAACGCCTCTTTAGATGGTCGGAACTTTTTAATGAATCTGTAGACAAATTTCTTAAATATATTTTATATCAAAATATATTCGAAAGACTAATAAACTTAAACTCTCTTAAACATTTGCTACTCCTGGCCAGTTTACTAAGCTCTCATCCTCTGACGAATCGTTGAACCAGAACTCGTTGTACTCATTTTACCACGTTTTTATAAACTCGCTTTCTTTTTTATTTCATTTTAATTAGAACAAATTTACATAAATATGTATAAGCACAC